CCCTCAGCATCCCCAGCACAGAACCCGTGGGTGCCCCGATGTGCCCGGGCTCTGACCCGCCCCTGGCCCTGCAGGTCGCACGGTTGGCTTCAAGGAGGATCACTACATGCTGCGGCACAGCCTCATGTCCTCCGAGCACCTGGACACGCCCCTGGTGCGCAGCGGCTCCCTCAAGGGCCGGGACACGGTGCGCTGGAGGATCCACAACAACGTCCACAGGCAGGGCATCGCCTCCCCTGCTGCTGCCAGCCCCAAGGAGCTCGGTGAGTGTCCCCAGCCTCCATCCTCTGCCTGGGGCGTGTCTCTGACCGAGCAGGACGGAGATGGATTTGGGGATTTCTCTTTGCAGTTCCCTACGGGCTGTCCCTGAGGCTGGCCCGGCTCTTCACGCAGAACCTGATGAAACAGGACACGCGGGAGTTCGAGCAGCTGCGCAAGGAAGTGGAGGAGAACGTAGGAGCTGGGGCACAGGGGGGCTTGGGGTGGCCTTGGGGACAGTGACACAGGGGGTTGGGCAGGGCCCCTTCCCTGGGAACCCTCAGCTGTGCAAAGGAGGGAGCAGTTCTTCTTCCTTTGTGAGAATGCACAATTATTAAGGTCACGATTGTAAGAATTGGCAAAGCATCTCGTGAGATTCTGGGTTTGCTTTGGGGCATGAGATCTGAAGGTCCTGATTGGCTTTAATTTGCAGCCTCTTGCCATGTCCTGGGATGAAATGGAATTTTTCTTCTTTTGTGAGAAAGCACAATTTTTAAGGTCATGATTGTAAGAATTGCCAAAGCATCTCATGGAGATTCTGGGTTTGCTTTGGGGCACGCAATCTGAAGCTCCTGTTTGGCTTCAATTTGCAGCCTCTTGCCATGTCCTGGGATGAAGCCTGGTGTGGCAGGGTGAGGGAGGAGGGCCTGGGGTGGTCAGAGCGCTCCTGTGTGTGGTGGCAGCAGCATCTGCTCACTGAGCACATCCCGCTCACTGAGGGATATGCTGTGAATCTTGTCCCTCTTGCTCCTTGCAGCTGAACGAGGTTTTCAAGCACATTCCTGGCTGCCACAAGGTCCAGCAGACCAAGTTCAGGTGAGTCAGAGGGGGAGAGGCTCCTGCAGGACAGGGTTCCCCCAGGGCACTGCTGATGATGGGGTGGACCAGAGAGCAGGGGTGTGAAATCCGTGATGCTGGGAGGGAGGGTGGTGTGTGAGACAAGCCTGGTGTGGTGCTTCACCCACCCAGGGCTGCAGAGCAGAGCCCACCCAGCTGTGGAGGAGATCTCAGCTGAGTTTGGCTCTGGAGCAGCAGGACAAATCCTGGTTGCACGGTGCTCAATGGGAGAATTCCCCCTGGCTTCCAAAGTTTCAGCCTGGTTCAAGCTTAGGAGTGCCTGGTGCAGACTGGGAGGAATTTGGGGATGCCAGTGCTGAGCAGGGAGTGGCATCTCCTCCCCACAGCCTGATCCAGATGTGGTCTCCCCTGTGGGCATGTTCCTTGGTGTGTTGGGAAACCCAGGGCAGGAGAGAGCAGCTGGGCAGGAGGGAACATGTTTGGGGCTCTGTGGGATGGGTTGGCACCCGCAGGGCAGTGCTGCAGCTCAGGCCTGCACAGGGCCGTGATTCACACAGCACTTTGTCTCTCCAAAGGTGTTAGTCACTCTGATTTGGGTTTGGTTTTTTCATTCCCCCAGGTTACAGCCTAATTCTGGGAAAAGGTAAGAGGAATTTGCAGCTCTCTCTGGTGCAGCTTCTCCCTCTTTGCACAGACACGTGTGGGGTGACTGAGTGCCCCACACACTCACTGGCCCCCAGCCAGTGTGAGATGAGTTTGTCTGGTCCCAGCTCTCACCTGCCCTTCCCTCCCCGCTCCCAGGCAGGATCACACCATTGTGGACACCGTGCTCACTGCCCCTTACTCAGCCAAGGCAGACATCATCAAAGCTGTGGAAAAACACGTTTCCCATGAGGCCTTCAATGACCTGAAGGTTGCACCGGGTTATTACACTGTGACCTCAGACCAAGGTAAGGAGCAGAGCCAGGTGCTGGCCTCTGGCTGGGTACAGGGGCTATTTCCCACCTCTCACCCTTGTCATTTCCCCCAGATGCTCAGGGAATGGTGGAGTTCCAAGAGGGCGTGGAGCTGGTGGATGTCCGTGTGCCCCTCTTCATCAGGGATGATGATGATGATGAGAAGCAGCTGCAGGTGGAGGCCATCGAGGTCCCCAACGGCATCGCAAAGATTGGGCGCAGGGTTGTCAACATCACCATCATCAAGGAGCAAGGTGGGGGGCTGTGAGGTGTCTGTGTGTGAATGTGAGATGTCTGTGTGTCCCCTGTGAGGGGTCTGAGTGTCCTGTGTGAGCTGTTTGTGTTTGTGTCCTGTGTCCCAACTGATGTGGTCTGTAAAGCACTGTCTGCATGTGCTTTACATTATCTGAGCACCCCCAGGTCACAGACTTGCTTGGTGACTCCTTCCTGAAGTCACCTGGGTCTAAACTGGAGCATCCTTTAATGCATCTGAAGGAGGGTCATCTTCCCTGCTGACACAAACATTTGACCATCACCAGTTTAGATGCCATTTCCATGACAGATTAAGGGCTGACCACATTCCTCTGCTGCTCCAGTTCACTGAGTGCTGGTGTGAAGCAGAACATCTTTGATGTTATTGTGCTGATGTCCCCAGCACTTTCCCTCTGCTTCCCACATGGCTGTTAAGAGCAGGGAGCACAAATGGGAAGCGGGGAAGTCTCCAGCCCATGGAATGTTATTTCATGCACAGTTCACACCTGTGGGTGACTGGAACTCTGTTCAGGGAGGTCACCTGTTTGAGATGTGATTCTTTGTGTGTTTGCTCTACACATTCCTTCTCTCTGCCCTCTCCAGCCAGCAGCCTCATCACGTTCCTGCAGCCAGCCTATTCCCACAGCCGCTTTGACAAGCTGGCCAAGATCCCTGTCCTCAGGGAGATCATTGACAACGGGAAATCCCAGGTCACCTACAGGACCCGGGATCTCACCGCCAAGAATGGCAGGGTAAGGGTGGAGCTCCTGGCCTTGGCAGGGAGTGGAGGGCTGGCAAAAGGCCAGCCCTGGGGTGCAGAACAGGAGTTATCAGCACATGGCTGGGCAGGGGGGACCCAAGGCTTGAGGTCAGCACAAGGGTAAACTTTCTTCTCCATGCCTTGCTGGGGAGGGAAGACCTGAGAGGTGTCTGTGCCTGAGGCAGAGGGTACCAGCTGCCCCTGGAGCTGTGGGCACTGGGAGGCAAATGAGGATTGACTGGGGATGAGGGGATGCTCTTTGGGAATCTCCTCATGGATGCTGCAGGCTGTAATCATGGAGCAGTTTGGGTTGGAAGGGACCTTAGACCATCTCATTCCAACCCCTGCCATGGGCAGGGACACCTTCCACAAGGCCAGGCTGCTCAGAGCCCCATCCAGCCTCACCCTGAACACACCACTTCCTTCTCCTCCAGGACTACCTCTTCACGGAGGGTGAGCTGGTCTTCCAGCCTGGGGAGACCCGAAAGGAGGTGCAGGTGCCCTTGCTGGAGCTGACAGAGATAGACACCCTCCTCAACAACTGCCAGCTCAAGCAATTTGCAGTCGACCTCCTGCACCCCAAGTATGGCGCCAAGATCGGCCGCTACCCCCAGACCACGGTGACCATCGCTGACCCAGGTAGGGGCTGCAGCCGGGCAGTGGCTGCGGGGGCTGTGGGATCTCCTCCCCAGGCCAGCCCGCCCCGGTGCGGTGCACAGAGTTCCATCCTCGCCCAAAAAGCCGAAGCGAGGCCCCTCCTGCTCCAGCTGGTAGATTTGGGTCCCCCTCTAGAGGCACGAGTGGGAATAGTCAGTGGGTGGGGAGAGGATGGATCGTCTCCCTCGGTAAAGGAAATAGAACGGACTCTTAATTCCTTTTCCTTGGGAAATTGAATGAAGAGTCATAAGGGAGAGGCAGGATTTGCCACGAATGGTGCGTGGTGGTTCCTGTGGCTGGACAAGAAAAACTGTCATCAAGTGGGTCAATAACATAAATAATGTATTTATCACAGCCTGGCAGGGCAGTGCTGCTGGGAGAGGCATGCTTCCTTCTTTCTCATTCAAGGGGTAGGACTGGCACTGACATGAACTTTCTTGTCTGCAGAGCTGGTGGATGGTGTCCCCCCGATGACAGGCCTGGCCCAGGTCCCCCAGTCCCCCAAAGGCCGCCTGGGTGCACCGCTGAATCCCGATGCCCGTGCCCTCAGCTCCAGGGAAATCAGCTTCAACTGGTTTCCTCCACCAGGAAAACCCCTGGGCTACAAGGTAAGGGGAGAATGGATCCCAGGGAAGAGTGTGGGTCCCCTCCTGCAGGTGTTTCACACAGACATTTGTACCAAAGGGGTCCAAGTGCACACCCAAAGGAGGGAGCAAGTTCACCCCTCCTGGTCCCCTCCATCCTTGAGGGACCATTGCTGGTGGATGAGAGATATGCAAGAAAGATTCCTGGTGGGTTCCTCTCCAGTTCCATCACTTATCATGAAGTACCCGGACTGTCCTGGCCTCCCATTTCAAAGGAATGGCACACCACCATTCCCAAAGCTGGTTTAGTAGGACACAAGGAATTTCTCACCCATCATGTGAGGTTCTGAAGGAATCATGGCTTGCACTTGCTTTGCCAGGTGAAATACTGGATGCAGGGAGACCCCGAGTCAGAAGCCCATCTCATTGATGTCAAAACCCCATCAGCAGAGCTCACCAACCTTTACCCCTTCTCCGACTATGAGATGCAAGTCTGTGCCTACAACGCCGTGGGAGAAGGGACTTACTCGGACATCATCCGCTGCCGCACGCTGGAGGAGGGTGAGTGAGTGACCCTCACCTTCCTGCCCTGAATGTGGGAGCAGGCTTTTCCCTCTGCACCAGGGGCAGGGTGAGTGACCCCTCACCTTCCTGCCCTGCACCTGGGAGCAGGCTTGTCCCTCTGCACCTGTCAGGATCTCTAGCTTATCAGAGCGACCCCAAGAAAAGTTTGAAAGTCTCTTTTCCCAGCCCAGGCTCTTGAAGAATGAGTCGGGGCTCTTCATTTCTCAGTCTCAAGGTTGTTAATTGCATCTTATCTAGAAAATATTTTCTTCTGCCCTGCTGAGGTCTGTCCAGCAGGACAGCTCCAGGCACTCCACCTGCCCCCAGGACAGTGTTATGTCTTTATACTAAAAGCTATGTGTACAATGTTTACAATTACTTCCCAATACCTATCACCTATGTTAGACAGTGAGCTTCTACTCCAAATCAATCTGTAAGTGCCAACATCACAGCAGAAGATGGAGGCCAAGAAGAAGAAGGAGAAAGACTGGATAGACCCAGTTCCCTCCATCTTGCCTCCTGAACCCCCATTCTAAAAACCCCAAAATCTACTTTTTCACCTTGTGATAACTTCACTATTATTCTACCTAAACTGTTGTGGCTTGCTGATCTTCATCTAAGAAGATGTTAACTTGCTCCATGGGTCATAATCACCCCACAGGTGTTTTGGGCTCTGTTCCAGGGTCTCTGAGCCCCCTGGCAGGGGTCCTGGCCATCCTGGACAGCCAGAGGGATGTCCTGGGTCCTGACATGCACCCAGCACCAAGGGCAGGGCTCCAGCCCTGAGCTTCTGGTGCTCTCAGGGCCAAGCCCTGAGTGTCTCCCACCGCAGCCCAGCTGTGACCTGGGGAACTCTGGGTTCCTGACTCAGGGGCACCCTTTGGTTTTGCCTCCCCAGTTCCCAGCGAGCCCGGGCGCTTGGCTTTCAACGTCGTGTCTTCCACCGTGACCCAGCTGAGCTGGGGTGAGCCCGCAGAGACCAATGGGGTGATCACAGCCTATGAAGTCAGCTATGGCCTGGTCAATGAGGACAATGGTAAGAGCTCGTTTATGGATGGGACAGTCCAGCTAGGCTGAGGGGCTGGAGGATGCTTCCTGCAGGCTGGGCTGGTCCCAAACAACAGCAGCAGCAGAGCCAGAACAGATCCAAGCATGCTTCTTTTGAGAACTGGGGTTTGGATGGGTCCCTTCTTGATGGAAAGAGCGCAGAAAAACCACCAGTCAGGATTTAACTCTGCAAATGCCAAAAATCTCTGTTCCCATTCACTTACATAGTGTTTTATGTTGTTTTTCATCCCATAAACTTAGTTCAAAGGTGTAGATGAAGGGATGGGTGCCAGGAAAGAGTTATTTGTGACACACCAGCAACAGAAGACTTCTCCTGTAGGATGACTTCAGCCTTGGGTTTGGGCATTATCCTGAGGCGATGCTGCTTGTTGTGAGCAGCCCAAAGAGCTGCTGCCCTTTCCCCCAGAGCCAGGCTGTATCCTGACACCAAAATGTGGGGTTTTGTGGGCTCCTCTGTGCCTGGTGGGTGACATGCTCGTGCCTTGCAGTGCCCATTGGGCCCCTGAAGAAGGTGCTGGTGGAAGAGCCCAAGAAGCGCGTGGTGCTGATCGAGAACCTGCGCGAGTCGCAGCCCTACCGCTACATGGTGAAGGCCAGGAACGGCGCGGGCTGGGGGCCCCAGAGAGAAGCCACCATCAACCTCGCCACGCAGCCCAAGAGACCCATGTCCAGTGAGTGCCAGCCTGGGCAGGGGCCACGGGGGCAGCAGCAGTGCTGGGGAGAGCTCCCCATCACCCCAACTGTGACCGTGTTCACAGGGGCCTCAGGTTGAGGGAAGAGATGAGGATTTGACTCCATGTTTCAGAAGGCTTGATTTATTATTTTATGATATATATTACATAAAATCCTTTCTTCTATTCTTTTAGTATAGTTTTAATCAGAAGGCTAGCTAAGAATAGAATAGGAAAGAATGATAACAAAGGCTTTGTCTCAGACTCTCTGTCCAAGCCAGTTGGGCTGTGATTGGCCCTTAATTAGAAACAACTAACATGGACTAATCAAAGATCTACCTGTTGCATTCCACAGCAGCAGATAATCATTGTTTACATTTTGTTCCTGAGGCCTCTCAGCTTCTCAAGAGGCAAAATCCTAAGGAAAGGATTTTTCATAAAAGATGTCTGTGACACCCAACTGCTTCCCCACCTCCTGTTTGCTCTGCTGCTCCAGCCATCCTGGGAATGCTGAGGGCCAGCCTGAGCATTGTAAGGCTTTTTACTGTTTGTCTGGTGTTTTGCTGCTTGTCTAATGGCCCTTTCCACCTCTCCTGCAGTCCCCATCATCCCTGATGTCCCCATCATTGATGCAGAAGGAGGTGAGGACTATGACAGCTACCTGATGTACAGCGCAGACGTGCTCCGCTCTCCAGCCGGCAGCAAGAGGCCCAGTGTCTCTGATGATTCAGGTTCGTGTCTCTGAGCTTGAAAAGGTCATTTCTAACATTCATTTTCCTTAACAGCAGCTCTCAGCAATGAGCTTCACTGCTCCTTTCCATCTCTCAGGAGATCCAAGTTGTGGAGATGGTGGAAAACAGCATTTGCAAAGCTCAGTAGCTGCATCCATGGGAACACTTGGCTGGTCACAGTGTGAATAAGGCCAGTGCCTCCTTGTTGTAGCCATGGGGCAAAGAGAAATCTCAGTGTGGGGTGGGAGAGGAGTTTTCATGCCCCCCCCTGCTCATCTTCTCTTTGTGTTGCCATTTGGGTGGACCGTGAGACATCAGCAAACAAGCACCAGCAAAGACACAGCCTCTGGGTCCCCTGGATGCTCAGGGTCTAGGCCAAGCCAACAGGAGGGAATGCAGCAGTGCTGGGAAGGCACTGGCCCCTCTTCCTCCATCCCTTCACTTTCTGAATGAGGCTGACTCCCTGGTCTTGTGCTGGGACATGAGCCATAGGTGAAATGATGAGGTGTGTCTGTAGGATCTTCTCTGGAGGGTTCTCCAGGGCCTGGGACCCAAGAGTGAGTCCCTGGCCTTTTCAAGGTGATGGGAACATCAGGAATCTGACCACCCTGAGTGCACATCAAGGAGTGAGGAAACCTCTCCTGAGCAGAGGACAATTGTTACAGACTCTTCATGCAGGGACAGGAGTACGGTGGGACTTTGCCTCCCAACTTCTGTCCTGAGGGACACAGGGCTGGAAAGCAGCCTGGGGGTTGAGGAGCCCCCTGCATGTCGCCTCCCAGCACTCTCCACCTACTGATGGCTGCAGCACCTGAGCTCCTCAGCTCACACCTGGAACACGGGCTGTGAACAGGCATCGTCCCCACTGCTGCTTGTCCCCTCCTGTCCCCAGCAAGCAGCACGGAGCTGGTGGGTGGCCCACCCTGACCCCTGCAGCCTGTGCCTACACCAGTGCTTGCCTTGTCCCAAAAGGCTCCAGGTGGAAATTTGTGCCGTTGCTGGGGGAAGACCTGGACCTCCGCCGCATCACCTGGAG